TATCAGGTTGTAGTTCTCAATTAACTGCCACAGTGCTGTAAGCACTGTGGTAGTTCATTGAGTCTTCCTGTTAAGACTGGATTGGCTTGCTCATACGGGATGTATGGGCAAGCAGATATACTGATCGGTCTGCAAGGCACCAGCGATCTGCTGGATGGATATATATATATATATATATATATATATATATATATATATATATATATATGTATATGTGTATGTATGTATGTATGTATGTATATATATATATATATATATATATATATATATGTATATATATGTATGTATGTATTTTTTTTTTTTTAAGCCTGTCCATTTCTGTTTTAGGCCAAATGCTGCTTGAATTTTCGGTTTTGGTCCAGAATTGTCATTTCGATGCACCACTACCTACTTCCCATGCTATTACCAAATATGACCACATCACATTCACTGTTAATATCTTTTGTTGAGTCACTCCAATGTACTGTTTGGTTACCTCTCATGTATCCCGTTAGGGAGGCCAAACATGGTTCATTTTTTTTTTTCATTCAACCAGCAGCTTGCAAAAAAAAAAAAAAAAAAAAAAACTGTTTCTCCTATCCACACATTCTGCATGGATGGGGGAATCCTTCCTGCTGTGCTATTCTATTCTGCTAGTGGGGAAATACAACGTTCAGTGTTACCAGCTATAGCCAGTGGAACTGATCATTTTGGAAAAACCCGACAGGCTGGTTGTACTCACGTTGATTGATCGACTTGTGTACAGCCAGCTAGCCTATACATGAATCAAAATTTGTCTGGTCCCTGCTGAATAGACAAATTTTGTTCTATATATGACCAGCTTAAAATGAAACAAAAGACACACAGTTTAATTTGCATTATCCCTTCTATTTCTGTATATGGATGATGGCACTGTGATTATTTTAATAAAAAAAAAAAAAAAAAATCTAAGTACCATTTTCCTAATCAATATACAGCTATCACATTACCCAGCTCTTTCTGAGCCTGTCTGCAGGGAAACATAAGCAGGAACAAAAAAAAAAAAAAAACACCTTTGAATACAGAGAAAAAATAGATATTACTAAACAGTTTTAAATTGTTGTACAAGTATTTATTTGAAATTAAATCTGTATTATTTTTTTGGCAATAATATGGTATGGGCAGATTTCTACCAGTCATAGGCTGTGTCACACCCCTCCAGCCTGTGTCTTAGAGTAACAGGTGATGCCTCCTTCAATCAAGATGTAATATCCCACCCCCATTGTGTTTAACTGGTTAGTGGGCATGGAGGAGGAGGACTCTATGGTCACATGGGCTGCTCAAATGTGATAGGGAAAAACGTAAAAATATGTATCTAAAGTCATTTTCATTAGCCAGCACTATAACAACCTCTAGCAGTGGGAAAAGCTGCAAGGGAGCATGAGAATTGTAGTCTTGAACCATCGGGTAACATCACTCGAAATCTAATGTGACATTGCCCTGCCCTCAGCCCTGGCTTGCAGCCTAGTAGATGGCATCTTAGTGTCATGCGACCACTAACTTTCAAAGAGGGAATAGGGTATTTGCTGAAAATGACGTGTTAACCTTTTTACTTGTCCTAACTACAATATCTGTAGCATTAACTGCAATATCCGTGCTGAACAGGGTTTATTGATCCTTTAATTATGCATATCTGGTGCACTTTAGTGGAAATGCATTGCCTCTGTCTTTTGTATTGTGCATTGAAAGAAATGCATGCATGCATGAATGAGCACCTGTGTCACTGTAACACATCAATTAACCAGTATGATATGTGGCACTGTAGTAATGTGGAGAAGTTGTATGGTTCAGGGTGTTGGCTTTTTTTTTTTTTTTAAATATATATTCCTTTGTGTTCTTATTGATCATTTTCAGGTATATCAAAGGGTAAGTCCACCCAGTAGTGATATCAAGGTATGGAAGGACATTGGTAGTTGGAATCTTCAACTGCCGTGTAATATCTCTTAAAGACTATAGGTGATAGACCTTGGACCTGGTCCCCTCCCTCCTTCAAGCTAGAGGAAGGGGTCTACCTTTCACTTTCTTCTCTGCAGTGATTATTGTTCATTTCATAGTTTAAAAACTTCCTAGCTATGACAAGTAGGTGGAGCTGGGATTTCTCCCTACTGTAGTCCACCTGAGAAGTAAGACGCCAGTGAGTGATTCATCCTTCCAATGTCTACTCCATACTAAAATATCATTTTGAGTGAACTCACCATTTATTAGAAATAGAATAAAACATCCACCAGTATATTGGCTCACATGTCATTCACCTTTCCTTCTGTATGTGAAGTATATTTAATATTCTGGCTATTAGTATAGGTGTTGGAATTTTAAATTTGAGACAATAGGTATTTTAGTTATGTGATCGCATTATTTTTGCTACTTTCTTTTTTTTAAGTAGCAAAAATGTATATGATGCTTTTACTGCCTATTCCTATATGTGAAAAGATGTTGTGAGCTCTCATTTATGTCAACACAGCAATCATTTGATATTGCTGTTGTCTGGTTGGTCACCCTTTTCTAAAAAATTGATGTCTGTATTACCATAAATACCAACTATACCCACAAATGTCTGACCTTCATATATTTTTTTTTTTGTTAATTTTAATGTAATATACAGTACATTAGCATTGCCATACATGCCAGTATGTGCAAATTTGTATCACTGCTAAACCTGACAACTTCAATAATGATTTGTTGTATGTCTTGATGCAAGCTTCCTGCAAAACCAGGAAGGGAGTTATCTGAACTCCTGGCATCCCTAGAATCTCTGTTACAAGGTCCTCTATTGTTGCTGCTATTCATAAATCGATCAGCCATAACTTTATGATCACTGAGAGGTAGTGAATAACATTGATTATCTCTTTACAATAGAATCTAAACATTGGAGGGATATAAATGCAGCAAGAAAACTTGTTCATAAAGTTGCTGTGTTGAAAGCAAAAAAAAATATGAGAGTCGCAGCTTGTGTATGGGAGCTATGTAGCCCGAAAACCAGTCAGGGTGTCCATGCTGACCTGTGTTTGCAGCTAAAATTGCCTACAATGGCCATGTGAGCATCAGAACTGGATGACAGAGCAATAGAATAAGGCGGCCTGGTTTGATCAAATTTTTGTTTATATCATGTGAATGTCCAGGTGCATGTGCACCACTTACCTGGGTAAAAGATACGATCAGGATGCGTTATGGGAGGAAGGCAAGTTGGCAGAGGCAGTTTGATGCTTTGAGCAATGTTCAGCTGGGAAACCTTGGGTCCTGTCATTCATGTGGGTGTTACTTTGACATGTACACCTACCTAAACATTGTTGCTGACCATTACACCCTTTCATGGAAATGGTATTCCCTGGGGAGCAGTTGCCTCTTTCAGCAGGATAATGTGCACTGCTACACTACAAAAATGGTTCAATAATGGTTTGAGATGTTGACTTTGCATGCAAATTCTCCAGATCTCAATCCATTGGGTATCTGTGGAATGTGCTGGATAAACAAGTCAGATTCATGAAGTCCCCCCTTTCAATTTTCAGGACATAAATGGCGGCTTGATGACACCGCAGCATACCTACACAAGTCTAAAGGCATTCATGCTGTGATGGGTCAAGGTTGTTTTGGTGGCAAAAGGGAACCTAATCGATATTAGGTGGATGGTCATAACTTTACAGGTGATCGTGTGTACTTGCTGTATGCACAGCTAAAAGAGTAGAGGTGTAACCCATTTCAGGAAGAGTGACAGAAGATGTAAGCAGGGTTTCATATTTTGTTTTCCACGCTGCCAGCAGTGCAGTGTAGAGAAGAGATAGGTAACCAGGAATTTTTAGTTTAATTCTTTTTTTAATCTTAGTGATTAATGATAAGACGAACTACCCTGGGTTTAACAAACTTCAAAGAAGTTTGGCTGCAAAACCTAAACTTTTTTTTGTTTTTTTTTACTTAAAGCACTGACACTTACATAGGAAAAATGGTTTTAAATTAATTGTAGATGATATTTCCCCCAGAACCTTAATCAGCTCATGCAGCCTAGCTGGCCAGAATGGTTGGGGAAAGGACTCCCCACCCCCTCAATGGCTGCATTGGTGATCTGCGTGTTCTGACGGGGGCAGGGGGGGGGGGGGGGAATCTGTGAGGTTTTCTCTTTTAACACGCTCGTTGAAAATAAAAAAAAAAAAAACTCTGTGTTTACTCAGCATTACGGTTCAGGATTTCTGATGTTTTCTACGGTACAGTTTCCCCATTACTTCATTATCATTATATGCAATTACATATTGCCTTTTTTAGTGCCCTTAATTCTTGATATTAGCACCTGGATTATGTGTAACAGGGATACTGGTGATGCCAGATTTCACAAAGCTTCTTTGCAGTCTCTTGAACCTCACTCAGCTGCTCAGTGATTTTGATGAATGGACAAGGTGGTATGTACCCAGGAAGGTGTCTGATGTTGGCAGTCTGCAAACGGGCAGATTATTAGGTTTATGGAGATAACAAGATTTTGTGAACTTCTTCATTGTGGCTATATTCAGGGTATTTTTGAAAGAGAGTTCTTCTTTAATGCATGCACATTACCCTAGATATATCTATGCGTCTAAATACTGCTGTTATAATGACAATATAAAGGTACTTTTATCATGAAAGGAACATTTTGTAAATGATGAGTTCAGTAACAACCTAGTTTCAAAAGTCCACACAAGTGACCATTGTAGGGACTGCTCAAGGCATGTATATACAGTCTAGTGTAGAATATGCTGTACTCTGATCTTTATAGAGATGTATGCAGTCCTTTGTCTGGAAGGATGAAAAGAGATGACAATGTCACATTGTCTACACCTTGTTGGCTTTTTCTCTGCACATTTCTTGTTTTTCCTCCTTTGTGTACTGCCAACAGTTGGTTGTAGGAAGTCATGTTGAAAACCCTGGTACCTACCAATCTTATATAAGGTAAAAAGCTGCATTGTCTTTATATAACTTTACATACTATGACTATCTACTTTTTGTATTTTTGCCTACAGCTGCCAAAAGTCTATTAAACAAGAAAACAGACGGAGTCAAGGTAAGCTGTTAAACGATTTGTTTTTAACAATGTTGTTTCTTTCCTGTAAAAGATGTACATGAGAAGCCTATGATGGCTTCGATGTTCCATGGTAACATTTGCTCTACCCTTCAGGCTTTGGAAATTTTGGGCTATTACAATCTTTTTATCATTTGAAATATTGGATGAGAGAGGTTGGAGTAAAGCTGTTCATTTGACGTTTACTATGATGTATGCAATCAAAAGAAATGAATAACTGTGCAGTGAGTAATAGGTTGCATTTGTGACTATAATTTAAGTAACTATCAGAATGCTAGTTGAAAATCGGTTTTAAATAGTGTTTATTTCTGGGATGACACTCTAAGCTTCATTCATATAATGACCATAAGCTTCTAACCACAGTCTTGTTCATGATTTTTAGTTTGTTATATGCATACAACCTTCTAAACATACTGCCCTGTGTAGTTTTTAAATATTTTACTTATGTTTAGTTAGTTTTCATTTGTCTTAGTTTGAAAAAAATTAATTGCATATAAATATTACTTGTTTATCCCTTGCAGCTAGCAGTTTGAGGTCTGAAGGCATCTCACCTCCAGCTATGCTGCGTTGTTTACTGCTATGCAGTGAATAGACCTTGTAATTTTGATCTTCTGTGAGTTGGATCTACGTATAGCTGATACAAAACTGATTGTCCATACAAGGGACTCCACCCTGCTGCCACTAGTTCATTTGGGGGTCTTCAGGTAGACCGTCGTAGTAGGCAGTGCTGGTTTCTTTTAAAGAAGATTAAAATGCTCTGCAAACTAATGTCTTGGAAGCACCTTCTAATAATAAGGATTTTCTGTAATAAATAAAAAAATATGATTTAAAAACTCGGTCTATATCCTTAAATGTTAAAAACATTTTGAGGAAAAAAAATATAGTTTCTCTTTAACCACAACGGATAAAAAGGGTTCACTTTGATCTGATTAATCAATATTAGAAAATGAGATTGCGAAATGCCATTGGTTGCTGTGAAAATGCATAATTATAAACTTCAACGGGTCAGTTCAGGCAGAAAATATTATTTTTAACCAGTCTAAAGCTGGTACTTTACTGAATGTATCTTTTACCATATTTATCATGGTATCATATATATGCAGTTTAAATGCACTTATATTGTGTTCCTATCAGGCCTTATAGACATAATTGCCACACTTTTATAAGGAATGTGGTTTAATATTAACAATATTGTGACAATATGCATGTGACATATAAAAGTACATCCCACAGCTTAGTGTCTTGAAATGATGTACCAGCACGACTATAAAGTTAAGCTGTTAAGTATCACAATACAGTCATCTGCAAAAACAAGCACACAAGGGCCATGGTAGTTATATAGTTATCCTTGGATCTCCAGGGCTTTGGAACTTTAATACAGAACTTAACTTTTTTTTTTTTTTTCCTTAGCAGTGTTCTTTGCCCAATTGTTATTTTTGTTGAATCAGATCAATGCTGTATTATGATTCTCTGTATGTCTGATTTTATCATAAAGCATAAATCCATTCTAAATTGGTTTACTGCTGCTTAACTTCCATTTTTTTTTTCTCAAAAAGAAAGGAATGTTGTCCAGCTAAGTAAAGAAATAATTGATATAAGGGAATTCTGGGAACAGCAGTGGATGAATGATCCTATTATGTTTTGTTTTGCATTATAATATTCTATTAAACTTGGTAAACTGTTTAAAGTGTTTGTAAACCTCAGACACGAACTATGAAGAAAGCAATTATCCCTCTATTGTGTGTACTTGTCTCAATTATGAGCATTTCTTACTGCTACCTCATTCCTCTGCAGTCAGCATGAGTCACTTCTGAGAAGTTTTTCTGACACCAACAGAATGGTGACAGGGGAAGGACCTCCAGCAGAGTAACAGCCTAAGCTCTTTTCATGTGAGCTGCGTGGAAAGGGGTGTGTCTCTTCCCTCCACTCAGCTCTCAGAAAGTGATAGCCTCAGCTCTGTTCCTGTGAGCTGTGTGGATGGGGGTGTCTCCTCCCTCCAATCGGCTTTCGGAGCTCTCCTCACTGATCTTCGAAGAGTGTAACTTCAGCTCTATGCCCCCCTTTTTTCTGACAGTTCAGACAAGCTGTGAGTTTATTTATTTTATTTCAGGTACTTATATAGCGCCGTCAATTTACGCAGCATTTTACATACATATTGTACATTCACATCAGTCCCTAACCCTCAAGGGGCATACAATCTAAAGTCCCTAATGTACATTCATACATACACATACTAGGGCCAATTTAGACAGGAGCCAATTAACCTACCAGCATGTCTTTAGACTGTGGGAGGAAACTGGAGTAGCCGGAGGAAACCCACGCAGGCACATGGAGAACATGCAAACTTCAGGCAGGTGGTGCTGTGGTTGGGATTTGAACCGATGACCCTAGTACTGCCAGGCAGAAGTGCTAACCATTTAGCCACTGTGCTGCCCTCTACACTTTGTTCTACATTTTGGTTGTAGAGGAGAGAGGGATGCAGATAAACAGGTACAACTTGCTGTGTGTTGGATGATTTCTTTCATCTGTGTATCACCTGAGGATAGTCACTTCACTGGTTATATGGAAGGGTTTACAACCACTTTAATCACATCCACTCATATAACAGTACTTACCATTCTGGATGAATTCTGACTGATAATGAAGCAACGCTATGGATTTCATACAATGGAGGATGACTTCTAATATATTTATGTGGGTAGTATCATGGGGACTTGTAGCTCCTGTTCCGTGGTACATTTTGGCTTGAGTTGAGACAACAAGACCTTGGTGGAATATTTTATTTGGAGAGCCTCTCTCACATTTCATGTATTCTCATTCAGCCTTTGGGGTACTAAGTTTAAAAAACTTTCTTGAAATTGACCTTGTTTAGTCTTAATAAATGTATTTGACGCTGAAGTGGTAGAGTACAGAATAGCAGTGTGTGAAACCAAGGCAAATGCTGCTTTACTTTGTAAATGTATTTGGGGGACACAAAAAAAAAGGGGAGTACACCTATGGTTAGGGCCTTGATGACCTTAGAGGTCTTGGTACCCATGTAGTTATATCCTAGACTGCAAAAGCTTTAGCCCTTTTAGAATTGTCTCTCCAGCCTTTTACCCCATGAGAGTGGCCATGGAGGTGCATATGGTTTATTTTTGAGGGAGAACAGGCAGTAGGACATATTCTTATCTTCCAATATCTCGCCAAGAACTCTTGCAGCTAGTCTCCTGCTCAAGTTCACAAACAGGTACATTTGTTACATGCATGCTTGCATGTTAAAACCTGTTTTTTTTTTTTTTTTTCCCTCACTTGAAAGGAAGTAAATAAAAGTACTAAGAGATGTTGTAATTTTTTGTGGTATTGGTGCCTAGTGCCCCATCTCTTTATGGCTTGATTTCCCAATTAGTACTTAAATTGGCCAGGCCACGCCACGCCACGCCACTTGATTTTATCAAGCCATTTTTGGCCATCCTAAGGCTAGTCATAAGTAGAAATTTTACTGACCGCAACTTGCAGTAATACCTTTTCACATCGTCCATCACTGTGCTGTGCTGCCAGGACCTGATACAATCTCCTCTGCATCTTTGGCTGCAATTGTTAACCATGCATGCTCAGAGATATTGTCTTTCCGATATAGAGAATGGAATGTTTGGTACTTACTCACATCAGGAGTTTTCCAATGATGTGAAAAATCTCTGCGGGCAATAATTAGAACTTCTAGTGGTAAAAATGCCATTTACACAAAGTAAAAACACATTCATGTTAGATCTGATTTTATAACTAAGAATAGGCTGTAGGACAAATAAGAGTGCATGTTCAGTGTGACCAAATGGGGGTTCATACACACAATGCAGTAAAAACCAGAAGAAAAATGGTAAGTCCAGATTTTGGTATAAAGGGTCAATTATTATTATTATAATAATAATAATACAGGATTTATATAGCACCAATAGTTTGCTCAGCGCTGTACATTATAAATATAATGGGAGACAGTACACAAGACATTACAGTAACAATATGATTCAATACACGAGGGGTTCGAGGGCCCTGCTCCTTGGAGCTTACAATCTAGGAGAATTCCGCTACTATAATTTTTTTTTTTCAGAAATCATTATTACAATGTCTGTATTGTGATATAGAAAAACTGTCATATGAAAGGAATATCGATGCATTTACCATAGCTATATTCCAAGCCAGCCTGACAGTAGGTTGCAAACACGTGGAATTTATTACCCAGTGTAAGGGTAACAGTGATTTTCAGCTTCTTGAAAAAAGACTTTAAACGATCAGGTCTGGCCAACATTGTGATGCGATAGAATGGGGTTTTCCACATCTGATGGAATACCTAGCTTAGTTGAAACTCATAATTGTTTTTTTTTGTTTGTTTTTTTTCTTACCCCAAGCTCTTCTATACGTCTAAATTATTTGTAATACAGACAAGTCATAATCATTCTAATTATATTTATCACTCACTCTTTTGAAATTTAGCTGATGTCCAGAATGTGCCATGTACATGGATTATATCTCATGAGCAGCACAACGGGGGGAATTTCTCAAAACTGGAGCAGACGGAAAATGGAGCAGCTGTGCATGGCAGTCAATCAGTTTCCATCTCCAGCTTGTTCATTTAAAGCAGAACCAAACCCATCAATATATCTGCTTTCCATAACAGTTACATTCAAGGCATGCCGTGAATGAGAACTGTCACAGTTGCTTGTGCTTTCAGCTGAACTGTCAAGCCTATCAAATGGCCAGTGTCATAACTGATCTCATGTGCAGTCCGGTGGCAACTGCAGATCAAACAGGCTAAGATGGGCAGCTTCCTTGGCTGTAAAGGGTATGGAGGGTTTATCTCCACTTTAACCGCTTAAGCTCCAGAAGGTTTTACCCCCTTCATGACCAGGGCATTTTTTACTCTGCACTGCGCCAATTTAACCTGCAATTGTACAGTCATGCAACACTGTACACAAATGAAATTTATATCATTTTTTGCCCACAAA